CCGTTTCTATTTTTTTTGCAACTATTTGTATAGAGAAAACTTTTTTTCCTCACAATATGTTTTATTTGTTAGGTTTGGAACTAACTAAACTGCTCTCTCAGAAGAGTTATTATCAACATCAAGTCTCTTAACTGTTGCTCTAAATTCTAGATAAAAATTGTTGAATTTCCAAATTTCAGGTGGAGTCATCCTCTATTGAGTTTCTGCTTTTCCATATCTGAGCATGTCAAAAACAAGCCACGACTTTTCTGCTAATAATGGAGTCAAACTAGGAGGCTTGTCCTTTCTGAAGTTGAGGCTATTCGATATAGCTGGTTTATTACCTGGCGCTCCAAAGGAAAAATGTTACTTGGACATCTCTGTAAACTATGCAGTTTTTTGACCGTATCACCACGTTCTCTACATTCTTATTCTGCTAGTGGGACCTAGATAACAAGTATGTCTGAGATTAGAGCTTGCTACAGTTTGAGAGCCAAGAAGGTTCCATTCCTCAAACCTTTTCATTTGGCAGTGAGCTTTCATATCATAATAAACAATATTGATTAACATTTTAAATTACTTTAATTAATAATGAGCTTTCTAAGTTATTAAAAAAAATACTAAAAGACGAATACTTGTGTTGATGCCAAAGAACATAACTTTGCTTTTAGAAACCAACTGTATAAAAAAACAACAAATAAATAGAGCCATACCAGTTATTTCTTTTTTATGTTTGTCAGTCAGGTTTTAGATTTCATTCATTAAATGATACAATTTTAAGTAGTATAAACATTTTCCCATAAATGGTGAACTGGTCCTGGTAAAAGAAATTTAAACCTATTTGATGATAGAACCATTAAAGTAAGTTCAGCTAACTCATGGTATTCTCTTTTAATATTATTGTCCTAAAGGTTTTAAATATATATTATAAGTTTGTAAAATAAAAATATTACCTTTTTGAGGGTTTTTAAACTGTAGGCAAAACTAAACAGCAACTAGTGTTTTGATTATATATCCAGCAACTAGTGTTTTGAATATATATCCATGTTCAAGGTGGTATTACTAATCTTTTCAGTTCCTTAGTTTAGCATCTACACTTTTCCTCTTATGTTATAGAACTTCATATAGTTTGTTTTCTGGTCCAGAAGTCTTCCAGAAATGGGCTATGTGTCTCTCAATTACGTAATGTCTAAATGCAATCAACAATAAAGGATGTTAAACTTGTTGAATTAATCTCATGCAAGTACCTTACTATTTTTTTGTATTTGCTGAAGTTGTGTCAAAACAGAGACATATAACCTTATCTTTTAATCCAAAAAATTCCTTCAATTTTACAATAACTTGTTTTTGATCAACCCCTGAACTAGAATCTATTGGAGGAATGCCAATTTGTTCTGTTTTCGCATCAATCCTTACCAAAACTGCTATTCAATCTTTTTTAAATTGATTTCATTATGTTAATTCACGCAATTTTTCCATCAAAGTGTACAGTCATCAGTGAATCTGACGATATTACAGTACTTTTTAGGTATTCTTTTATTTCTCTAACCTTGGAAGATCGTATGTTCTCTGTAGCTCTATAAGATGTGTATTTAGAACAGACAAAGTTTGCTACAGAAGTTTTCTTCTCACTTTGATTTTCATAGAAAAAGATATATTTGAATAATATCTTTAGTAGTTGAAAAGTTTTTTGCTGGAAGTTTTTTGATTAGCTTTTTACTTAAAAATATTTTATCCAATCTAATATTTCTAACTTTTTTTAAGTGGCATTATATTAATTATTTAAGTATATAATCTGAAAAAAGTTAGCTTAAAACATATTTCAAGAAAGCATATTGTTTACTAAAAAACTTAAAACATTATTTAAAAAAATATTTAAAAATGTACAGAGTAAAAACATTTTTATTTGTTAAATATCTATTGATATTTGGGTTTTTCAGATAACTTTTTTAAAGTTTCTAATATTTTTTTTTTTAGTAGAGCTTATTTTATATAGATTGAATAAGTCTTAACAAACATAAATACAATTAAACGATTTGCTATTAAAACTTCATTCGTAAGTTAATTCCATGTATTTGCAGTTCTGTTAAAAAAAATATATTCTCTAGGAGAATGATCAAAGAACTTTTTCTTGTTTTTAAACCAATACCCTTTAAAATAACTATTAACAAGTAGAAAACATTTTCTTATGTTTATCCTGTCTAATTTAAAATCTCTCACTTAGGGTTGTCAAGTCTAAAGTAATAAGTGATTAATATATTTGAGAATACTGACTGATGAAAGAATTTTAGTTCCTCTGCGTTGTATTTATTCAATTGCATGACAGTCTCTTTTTATATAAAGGGACAAAACCCGAACTGCAAAGAATGAATTAATAAATGTTAAATTATATATATATATATATATATATATATATATATATATATATATATATATATATATATATATATATATATATATATATATATATATATATATATATATATATATATATATATATATATATATATACATATATATATACATATATATATATATATATATATATATATATATATATATATATATATATATATATATATATATATAATATATATAATATATATATATATATATATATATATTATATATATATATATATATATATATATATATATATATATATATATATATATATATATATATATATATATATATATAAATATATGTATATATATATATATTTTTATATTTATGTATATATATATATATATATATATCTATATATCTATATATATATATATATATATATATATATATATATATATATATATATATATATATATATATATATATACATATATATATATATATATATATATATATATATATATATATATATATATATATATATATATATATATATATATATATATATATATATATACATATATATTTATATATATATATATATATATATATATATATATATATATATATATATATATATATATATATATATATATATATATATATATATATATATATATATAAATGGCAAATGTTAATCTGTTGGTCAAGTGACCAATTTAATGTTTAATGGTCACGCGACCTTTAAACGTTTGAAAAACATTTGAAAACGTACTTGTGGCAACTGTTTAAAAAAAAAATAATAATACACTTTAATAACGGACTAAAGCATTAGAATAAACGAATTTATCTCAACGACAAAAACAGCAAAAGAACAGTTAATAAAAAACTTTTCAAACGCTAATACTATTTGAGTTATAGAAACTTTTTTTTCTTCAAAAATTGCGCATCAGGTTTGAAGAAGTTTTAGCGTTTCTGACGGAGATAAAAAAATAGCAACAAAGCAAATAATTATTAAAAAAGTAAAAACGTACTTTTAAGCAGTTTCTATATAGACCACCAAATGGTGTATGCGAAAATTTTAGTTCTTATTGTCAACATAATGCAGCAAAGGCTAATAACAACAAAAGAAAAAATGACTTTATTAATAGGGATTTTAATATGGACTGTTTTATTTATAGCTATGAAAAAAAAGTAGGAAGTTTTTATGATGACAATATTTTTACTTCAGACATCTTAATTAACTCCATCCAAAATGTGTCACAAAAACTGAAATATTGGACCATTTTCCTATTTTCGTAACTCTTGACGCAACATTATTAAATAAAATAGAACTGCAAAAAAAAGTGAAATGTGAACAAAAAAAAAAACAAAGAACCAACTATCATTATTCTATCAACTCTGTTACAAACACATCAAATTTAGTGAGAATGAAAGTAACATATATAATAAGTTCGTTAAAACGCTATATTTATTAACTACTTAACGCGTTCACGGAAAATGATAAAAGAAATAACCGGAAAGTCAAAAAATTCGCTTGAGTCCCCCACCCAGCTAACACAAAACGTTCAAGAACGTTTTATGAACGTTCAAAGAAATTGCTCAAACGTTCGCAACATTCGTCGAACGTACTTGAAAATTTTGTGTTAGCTGAGTACCACAAACCATAAAATTTAAAAATATGATTATGATTATGTAAAATCCTAACTTATGAATTTAAATTAAAAATAGAAATTTTAACTAGTTTACTTGGCATTTATCTTGACAAGAATGGTCCATGGCTAGAAAAAACGAACTTTTTCGTGCCAGACAATTTGTCCGATAAAGACTCAAGTTTCCCGGACATGACCAATAAAAATTAAAGAAGTGCGATTGAACGCTATTCCCGACCACGCATAAATATTTTATTTTTACAACCTGACCACGCATTAGGTAAGATAAATAACCTAACAAAAAGAAAATATTAAAGAAAAAGAAACAATTTAACTTCAAAAAACTAAAACTTGAAAAAGAAAACATATTCGTATTAATTTTTTCAAAAATTACTACGTGTAAATTACTACGTAAAAAAATACTATGCGTAATGCTTTGCAACTTATTAAATACATAAATTTTTGTGTAAATATTTTAGTTACATAAATTATGTAATTATTAAAAACGTAATGAAATATATACTTAAAATACAAAATTATTACACTCTAAGAAAAAATCCGTTATATACAATATACAACGTTATATACAACGAATATATACGTTATATACGTTAATAATATACGTTATATACAACAAATTGTATCTGTCGCTATTGCACTAACGGGAAATCCGTTAAGTTAACGAATTAAAATTTTAACGACTTGAAGTCCGTTAGGAATTGTCCGTTGAACTTACGGATTTATTTTGTTAGTGCAACGAATAATCCGTTTAAAAAAAGGAGTTATTACATTTGGCAGCAAATTTTCCGCGGTTGTTATTCCTTTGATATAAAGGTGTTAATAAGTTATTTTTAGTAATTGTTTTGTTAAAATCACTAATATCAAAAATTAGAGAGGCCAGAATTGTGACTTCATAACCAAACAATCCTCATATATTTTAATGTTTGCATTTTTATTTAATTGCATTATTTTATTTCGATATTCTTCATTAAAACCTTTTAACCAAAAATTGAAAACTAATAAAATATTTATAATGTTTAATCCAATATACTTTAAATTACAATAAAAATAGTTAAAATATTTTTAATACACTATACACAAGCTAGTGCATCTATATAAAACACACACGTATATAATAGATATTTAAAATAAACCAACGCCAAGATATTTGTTTTTGGTCGCTAGTTTTGGTTTGGTTGGTTTAAATAGGTTTTGGTTTCGAATACTGTTGTTACTCGTACACAGGTTCGCACTTTAAATCGGACACCATGCTGTCAACTCCTTAAAGAATAATATAAAATAAATTAAAATGGAAACTTAATAATACACCTAGTATAAAACCAAAATAAAATGTTATTGATAACACTATAGAAAATGTTTTTGGTAATTCATTATATATAAATTTCTATTCAAAATTTTGTTATTTTAATTATCTCTGATATTGTTTTCTTAAGATAAAGTTAAATGGAACAAGTAAATTATATCTTTAACTAAATGTAAATTTAAAAAAAAGTATAAGACTACCTTGACATTGTCTGATAACTGAAAGACTTTATACATTTCACATACATCAATACCTATCAGTACCAAAAAATAAGGTCTCTAACCTTTTAAAAACTATGATAAATCAAAACAAGATTAAATATGCAGATCAAAAAAAACTCAAGTAAAAATATAAAAAAATTAATTTTACAACTTGTTTAAACGTTCAGTGTCATTTTCAATGTCATACAGTGTCACATGTTTAAAATAGTTTATTTTAAAATAATAGTGAATATAAAATATAGTAGAATAATAGTTAAAAAAGTGTGATATAAACTTAGTCTTAATTAAACTAAATAAATATGTATGCCAAAAGAAATGCAAGTTAAAATACAACTTTTTTAAATTTACTAATTCAAATTTACAGTGGGATATCACAAGCCACGTGTCTAAAACAGCACATCCTAAAATAATATAAACACGTCAGATATAAACTTATTATTATTATTATTATTATTGTTATTATTATTATTATTATTATTATTATTATTATTATTATTATTATTATTATTATTATTATTAATAGTTGAAACTCACCTAAACAAATATGCACGCCAATAGAAATGCACGTAAAACTTACAGTGGTATAACAAATACCATGCGTCTAAAATAGAAAACTCTAAAATAATATAAACACACCAATATAAACTTAGTTTATGATATTGGATGCCACATGTTTAATTTGAAAATTAATAAAAATTACAATTTATAAAAGCATATTAACTAGCCATGTAAACTTAGCTGTAACTAACCTAAATAAATATATCTATCATGATGTTAATATTTTTAATTTTACAACTGATGTAAACTAATATGATATGTTACTACACGTCGTATGTCTAAAATATAAAGTTAAACAAGACTATAAATAATTCATTTAGTCTATATTATAGAAATATTTGTCCTTTAAAAAAATGGAATGCTTTGGAACACCTACATTAATCAAAAAATAAATGCTCTGCTGTTTTGGCTCCTAAAAAATGATCAATTTCTAAACCCAGTTTAGTTGTCGTCCAAGCGATGCGTGCTGAAATATTTAGTTTTAGTCTTATTTTAAGCCTTTCGTGGTGATTAACGTTAGTATTTTGATTGCTTTCATTGTCTCCATTACTGCTTTTGATTAGAAGTTTTTCTTTTTTTTTTTTTTTCCTAGGTCAATAGTGCTTCTTTTATTTCATTAATTTTTTTATATTCAATTAAATGCAGGGCTTTCTAACGCGGATCTATTATTAATTATTATTGAATATTAATTAGCATAACAATTAATTAGCTGCTCAGAACCATTGAGAAAATCTCTTTCCTGAAGTTCACTTATCAGTATTTTTATAAATATTCTTGTTGCGTTGACTTTGTGATTTTATAGGGTAAGTAGTTCTTGGTGCAAAGAATATAATTCAGGTATTACATCTGAGATTGTTGGTCTTTTATTAGCTGATAAACCTACTGAGATATTGTATATTATTTTCAAGAAACGGTATGCTGTATTCTAGTGTATTCCATTGATCATCTGAAGGACATGAGCTTTCAAATTCTTCATTTGATTATGCAAGTGTTGTGATCGCTTTTTTGACTTGGAAGACTTTATGTACATGTACTTAAAATTCCATCGAGTCGTACACGGAACAATCAATTTCCTGGCCTTAATTTCAAGTTTTTCGCATTCACTTTGAAGCTTAGCAGTTGCGAAATAACTTCTATGTGTGTGTGATGCTAAATCCGTGCACTTTTTCAATGCTTTTATAAGTTCAATTGAATTTTTGAACACTTTATGAATACCTAGCTGGATTATGTCATCGTTGCAGAGAAACTCTGTGTTGATTTCAACATTATTTTAGCAGCTAAAATATTTTAGCTGGCATTGTCATTAACGCAGGCTCTGTGTACTTCTTTATTTAAGTTCAAATTAGCAATAAAAAAATCCAGGTTTACAGCCATTGCTACCCTGGTGTGTCTACCCGTAAATGGTGTACAATCAATGAAAAAACTCAATAAATTAAAATCTGAATTAATGTAGTGAATTGTAAGACTCAAAAAGGAATCATGGTTTCCACTTTTCCAGAGATCTGTTGTAAAACTAACTCCAGTTACCTTTGGAAAACTTTTGACAAATTCTAGTTGCAACCCTTCCTTAACCTTGTTATACAACATTGGAATTTTATAACGTCTAAATTGTTGATGTAGATTTGACAATAAATTTATTATTTACTTCATCAATAAATTCTTGAGCTCCTTTATCATCCAAAATTTCAAAAGACCTCCATTGCAGACAAACTTTGTTAAATCTAATTTAAATTTTAATTGCTTTGGATCAGTTAATTCATGTTTTTGATTTTTTAATACACTACTTTCAATTGTTATTGTTGTGCCTTGATGGTTTTTAAAAGATGTTCCTTCCAAGATGTTTCATGTTTGGTTTTCACATGGCTGGTTATCGTTGATGTACTGCCACAGTTTATTTTGTAAGATTTAAAGCAAGTTTTACATTTAGATCCAAACTTATTCAGTTTTTGTAAGAGTTTCACTTTCTTTCGGCATCTTCAATTTGAATAAAATATGATTTGGTCGTATGACAACCGGACTAAAAAAAAAAAAATTATATTAATTTTTGTTTTGGTCAAGTAGCTGAAAAGATTAAAATTAGATTAGAGATAAAGTAAAATTCACAAATGAATTTAAACAGCCAAATTCATTATACGCGGTCCGCACACTTATATTTACAATGTCGGGAAAAAACAATAAAAATGGTAGCTTCTCAGCTTGATAAACTATCAACTAGCGTTTTACATCTTAATATTTATTTTTTTTACGGCTAGATTTTCAATCGCTTTATTCGTATTGTGCTTCTGCTTTATCGTTTATTATGATTTTAAATTAAAAGAATCAAATGTTCAACTCAAATACTATCGTTTACCAAGATCAGAAAGTGTACAAAAAACCTATAAAAAGTTAAAAAAAAAACTTTTTAAAACTTTTTATAGGTTTTTTTTATAAGTTTAAAAAAAACTTATAAAATAAAAGATTAAACACAAACAATTTGCCACACACGATTATTCCGGTTAAGCAATGAGAAAAAGATGAAAAATAACTGACTTAATAAACAAAATTTCAAAATTTAAATTGCTTTTATCTAAAAAAAATTACAATGGGAGCAAACTTTAATTTTTTAATAATCTTTTTAAATAGTTTTAACAAAACAAAATCAGATTTTTAATATAACAAAAATAAATAGCAACACATGATTCAAGATAAGTTCAGTTTTTTATTTTTTTCCAATTATTTATTGAATTAACTGTCTCTTCAACTGTATGAAATGCCTGTAGTTGGCATTGAACATAACATTAAGGACAATTTTCTACTTGTTGTTCATGTCCCAACACAATTGACACAACCTCGAACTTTATAGTCTAACAAACTTCTTGACCTAATTTATTAGGGCTACAACCATATTTATTGTCTAAAAAAATACTAAAAAAGTTGTCATTTTTCAATTTTTGCATTCGAAAAAAGTTTTCAAATAACTAACTTTTTTGAATATTTTCTAAATGGCCTAGGCCTCGTGTAAATGACGAATTTTTAAAACATTCCAATATAGTATAAAACTTTAAAAGATTCCCCAAAAAACCAAGCAAATTAGATAGTAGTTTTATGTTTTCTGTAATCATGCTACTTTTTTGTTTTGTTCTATGCTTTTGTATTTATTACGACACTGTTTTGGAGCGATGCAGTTATTAAGGTTAATATTAATTTAATTTTAGGTATTATAAGTGAGACTGCATTGAAAATACATTTTGCTGTTCAGTTTATTTCAGTTTTTCACAATCTATAATATCAATTTTTTATCTTTAATTAATATAAATACATATGCATTTTGTTTCGCAATTTCTTGAAAGTCACATAAAACTCTTGTTCTATCTTATTTAATCATTTACCTTTTTAATCATGACGAATTAAGAACATATAACAGCATCGACAGTAATGTTTAGTTGATTTTTTTTTAATAACAAAGTTGCAATCTTTACTTTTTTCCGTAAATCGAATTAATTTCGAGACCAGGCCTCTGAAATGAATTTGGCTAATTGAAGGCTTATTCAAGTTTGAACAAACAGTTTTGTTAATGAAAAAGTTTACAATTGTTTGTATAAATGTCAAACAAACAAAATATATTTTAAACAGTAAAACATATTTGTTTTTATATTTATCTGATTTAGAAAATGTTCTTATAATAGCAATGTTCTTATAATAAAAATATTATACAATATATTTTAATTTTTAAGTAAAATAAAAAATTATAAGAGTTTCGAAAAAAGTTCCATTTTGTCACATGTTACAGTACAATGATATCATAACTATATTCCTTCCTGGTCCGCAATATTAGCCATAGTTTTCCGGCACTATTTTGCACAATATTAGTCTGCACATTGCAAGTTTGCCTACTAATTTGGAGTTATGTTTATAGTCTCATCTTTTTGACCTGTGGTTTAATAATACTAAACTTTAACAAATAAAATATATTAAAAACATCTATAACTAAATTTATAATTTTTAAAAATCTATATTGGTTTTTTAGGGTTTTTCAGTTTCGGTTCAGTTTAATATTTAAAATATTTTGATCAATGCGGTTCAACTCTGTTTTTTTTAATTCGGTTTTTACCGAAAAACCGGTTAGGTTCGGTTAACCGCGTTGCTTTAATTCTATTGTTTTATATAAAATAGCTGCAATTATTGAAATGTAAAAGTCAATATTATCAAATAACGAGTAAATGTACATCTTTTTTTTTTTAATTATCAAAAACTAAGAAAATGGTACTTTCTACGCTCTAAATAATTTACATCATTTAATCGCTCTTAATCATTTCAAAGAAATCACACTTTTTAAAATAGCCAATAACCTACAAAAAGTTTTCATAAAATCTTTATTTAGGTTATTGTAAAGTTTAAAATCATTATAAAAAATGCCTTACAAAAGCTTGAGCAGTGTCAATTAATTCTTTTTTCAAGGTTTTATTTTTTTAAGCGGTACTTTATGCGTCTCAATTATTTAAACTTTTCATCTTTTTAGAGACTTCCTCATAAGAGTAAGTAATATCGATGCGTAAAACTTTTTGTAGTTTTTTGTAGTAATATACCAAATATTTTTTTTTATCAGCGTAAACCAAAAACTTAACGTTTAATTTTATTTTTTTAACATCTAACTTTCGATCTTTTTGAAATTTGTAAAATAATTGCCGGAATTTTGTTTTTTTTGATTAAGTGCATAAAATTATAATCGAATTTATTAAACCGGGTATAAAAGATGGGGTATTTTTTAGTAGTAGTAGTAGTAGCAGAAGTAGTAGTAGTGTTAGTAGTAGTAGTAGTAGTAGTAGTAGTAGTAGTAGTAGTAGTAGTAGTAGTAGTAGTAGTAGCATTACAAGTAATTGAAGTATGATAGTAGTAGGAGTATTAGAAGTAGTAATAAAGAGTTGTTATTTTTATTTATGTTTACAACGTTAACTTTATCCCTGTATATTTCACAATAATTTTATTTTATCTAAAGGTATGGCAGATGATGAAAATCAATTTACTGCTTTAAAAGCACTTATAAAAGAATCGAAGTATTTTGATGCCAATGACAACTTACTTCATGCAATACTTCAAAGGGGGCTAGATGGACTTAATGAATTTCAAGAAGACATGGGGAAAAAAAACTTTGATAATTTGAAATCATCACTTAGCAAACTTCTAGATTCCCAAACCAATAGTAAGTTTAATTAAAGTTCAAATACGTAATTAGTTATATATATATATATAAATATATATGTATATATATATATATATATATATATATATATATATATATATATATATATATATATATATATATATATATATATATATATATATATATATATATATATATATATATATATATATATATATATATATATATATATATATATATATATATATATAAATATATATATATATATTAGTTTTAGACAAACTATAAAGTATAAAAAAACTAGTATATTATTCAATTAAGTAAAATCCGTGAAAAATCATTTGTACATAAATGTATTTTCAATATTACAAAATTAAATAGCAAAACATGATTTAAACTAAGTTCAGTTTTTTTTTTTGCACTCATATATTGAAATAACTGTTTCTTCAACTGTATGAAATGCCTGTAGCTGGCATTGAATATAACGTTAAGGACAATTTTCTACTTGTTGTTCATGTCCCAACATAATTGACACAATCTTGAATTTTATAGTCTAACAAACTTCTTGACCTAATTTATTAGGGCTACAACCATATTTATTGTCTAAAAAGGACTAAAAAAGTAATCAATCCTCAATTTTTGCTTTAGAAAGGGTTTACTTAAACCCTTTTTAAACATTTTAGTTTAACAACTTTAAATTTTAAACCGATAAGTGAAATTGTGATTATTTTTGCATAAGTTTTTTGATAAAACTTGTTACAAACGGCGTTAAATATAAAAACAAAAAAAATATTACCAAATCAAGCTAAAATAGAATCAAAAAATAAGGAACAACATTTTTTTTGTGGAAAAATAAAATTTGAGCAAAAATTATTTTTCAATCTCTATTAAAATTCTTCAAATAAGATCTAAATATATTTTGAGCTCAAACAACAACATATTATATGTTTTTTTCAAAGGGTTATTAAAAACACTACTAAGGTTTTTAATTTTTTTGGGTAATTTCTACTGAGTAAATAAAATTATTTTATTGCAGCCTAATCATTATTATTACTACCTAAATCAGTTTTTTTTATAGATGTTATCTCAATATTTTATTTTATTGTTATCTTTATGTTGGATTGTTCTATTTGTTATTTCCAATTTTTTAAAACTCTGTTTTGTAATTTATTATATTATCAACTATAAAGTATAATTTATTATCTTTAGAAGAAATTTAGTAAACTTGACATTTATTTTTACAATAACGAATTACAGTGTTTTTTTTTTTTTACTGTTATTTACTTTTATTTTGAATATAATGCCTTGTAATTTAAACAAACGTAAAACTAAAATACGTAACCACAAAAATTGTTTCAACACCATTCTTTTGAAAGAGTTGAGACAAGCAAATTATAAACGAATGTTTTTTTTTTGATCCTCAAAATGGTTTAACATATCAAAAGGCAATATCTAAATTAAAATGAACTCTAAGCATAAAAAAAAGCATAGATGTACCAACCAGATTTAGGGGAAAGCGGGGCAACATGGCGAATGGGGCAAGATGGGTTTTCATATAACAACTCAATAAAAATTTTTAAAATTGGGTGAAAACGAAACTGTATTTGCATCTTGTATTTTAAAACACCAATTGGTTTTTTGAAATATTATTAACGCCATTTTATACAAATAAGTTTACTTTTTGCGCTTAAAAAAAATTTCCTCACTTTCGGTTTCTCATAATGGTTGGTGTCCTTCAAGTTTAACTTCTTTAGAAGTAGTTTTTGCAATTTATGTTTATTTTTGTTACTTTAATTAGAGTTATTGGCAGTTTTTAAAATTTTATAAAATTGGAGGTAAAACTTGCATATTAAGTCATCTTGCCCCGGTCACGTGACCAGATGACAAATTTATGAACTTTTTATTTTAATATTTATTTCAAATTGTTATATTTGCAAACTGAAAATTCATGCAGGCAATAAAAAAACTTAATAGCATAAACATACTGAAAAAGTATTATGGCTACACGACTTATAGTTTTTCAATTTTATTTGTTTCTCGTCATAAGTAGGGGAAAGCGGGAATGAAAAGAAACAATTATATCAAATAGAGTCTAGATTAAGTCTAAATGGGGATTTCCAATGAATAAACTTGATCTCTATATATTAGGTGCTGTTAATTCAAAAATATTCCTATTACCCCCCAAAACTAGCTATTGAAAACACAGAATTTAGTTTAGAATTTAGTCATTAACAAAAACATCTGCTGGAACTAACATATTGTATATATTGGCAACAAAACATCAAAATGTATTAGAATTCTATACCAATCAATAAATCTATCAAATGAAAATCATCCAAAACTAACATATTTCGGTTTTAAACAAATTTACTTAAATTAGGCGAAAAAAGGTAACACTTTATAAAACACAGAACATGCTTTAAGAATAAAGAATTTCAAAAATACTAAAATACAACGAAGAAACAACTTTTTTAAAGTATGAATAATATACAATATATGAGCTTAACATATTTAAAATTTGATATCTCATATATAAAAAAAAATTTCAAAAAAGTCTCTATTTTTCATGATATACATGAAATAAAACATTATTTTAAATATAATTTGCGCACAACAGGCACCTTAATTGAATATTTATGTTAATTGTATCTAAGCGGAAACAATTTAAAATTAATTATAGTGTTCCTCATAATTGAAATACAATTTTAACAAAAGATGATATCATAACACGTGTAAAAAATTTAAATTGCTTTTAAAGTATAACTAAAAATAATATTTTAGAGTATGCAAGTCTCAATAATGATTTCTATTAAACAAGTTTTTGTATTTTTATTTTAATTACTACTTTTTTTGTTGTTAAAATTTATTAGTAAAATTGAAATAAATCGATTTCTTTTCTCTTTTTGTCATAGCTTTTATTTTCTTTAATTTTTACTTAAATAAGGATTTTAATTAAAATAAAAAAAATTGATTTAATGACAATGTATATAGATTTGCAACATATTATCTTTTACATTTTCAAAACTTTTTAAACTCTTAAATTCCTAAATTTTAAATTCTTTTTAAGATTCTTTTATCTTCTTTTTTTAACAACTATCTGATTAACTACACCTTTTCTGGATCAATTTAAAAGAAATACGAATCAATTTAAAAGAAATACGAATCAATTTAAAAGAAATACGAATGAATTTAAAAGAAATACGAATCAATTTAAAAGGAATACGAAACAATTTAAATTAGTATTTCTTTTAAATTGATTCGTATTTCTTTTAAATTGATTCGTATTTCTTTTAAATTGATTCGTATTTCTTTTAAATTGATTCGTATTTCTTTTAAATTGATTCGTATTCCTTTTAAATTGATTCGTATTCCTTTTAAATTGATCCAGAAAAGGTGTAGTCTAACCAATTTAAATTTTCTTTAATTATCCTATTAGCTTATCTTCAATTTTTAAGTGTGATTTTTTTTTGTTGTTTTTTTTTTTCACAATTTTCTTTTGATTATAGATTAGTAACTTATCTTAAAATATTGGTATATATTTGTTATATAATTTTTAAATGATACAAAGTAATTTTAAATTTTATGTTTACATTTTAATGGTTATACACGCTTGCTGATGAAAGCACGCTGGGGTGTGGTGATAAGGCAAATATTGTCTTCTTTTAGCCCCGGTCATGAGGATTTTATTTATATAACGCGGCATTGTATTTTTTTTTAATGACAAATAAAAAAAACAAAAATAAAAAAAAAACATTAAAACACAACCTCATTGTTTTAGTTTTAGTTTATTAGTTTATATTGCCGTTAAAAATATTTACAAAGTACAACAATATAAAAAGTACAACTGGCTGGAGCAAGAAGAAGGCATAAAATAGACTTATCACCGAGCCCCAATAGTAACGCAAATAACTATCCGTAATATACAATAATCCGTAACATATAAGCAAAAGTATTTAAAAAAAGACAATTTAAAATGTTAAGGAACAAAGTTAAAAAGAAGAAGAAGAAGAAAAAAAAAAAGTATTAAAATAATTGAAGAAAAAAAAAAAAAAAAAAAGAAATAATTAAAACATAGTAATTAAAATGACAAAAATTTTCTGTTTTTGGTTATAAATTGGATGTGATTCGACATATATATTTGTATATATTATTTTCTTTCAAAATAATTCAAAATTCAAATAAAAATTCTGTTCCAATATTATAAAATATATCAAGAAAATTGTAGATAACTTTAAGAGAATAAATATATTCAATGAAAGTATGATAAAGACATTGAAATTCTTAGTATTGTTAAATGGTCTAGATTTTTAAATTTATGGTACTAATTTAGTTTAATAAATTTTAAAGCTTTAAAAATGACATTGAAGATCTGCTATATTAAAATCCGTAAGTACTAAATAACGTCTTAATTTAGATTTGAATTGCGGAAGTGTTTTTCTTTAATAATAACAATATGCTGAAAGTTTTTCCACAAAATTGGACCCCTGTACTGAATAGAACAAGAAAATAACTTCAGATTATACTTTTGAGTTACAAAGTTATTTTCTGAGAACTTGATGGGGTATTTATGGCTTACTTCTCTAAAATAAGGATAGAATATCTCTGGAGACAGTCCAGGTTTTATTTGATACATGAACTGTATGACGAGGAATATGTTAATTTTAAACACATTTAATGCATTGAGTTTACGTAAAAGTGGCTCACAAGGCACAGTTCTTTTTACTCCAAATACAATTCTACATGCATGTTTTTGTTTAGTATAAATTTTCTTTAACTTAGCGTAGCTGTTGCTTGCCCATACGATATTGCCGTAAGTTAGATAGCTATGTATGAAGGAAAAATATAAACTTTTTAGAGATCTTATATCCAAGAATGGTTTTGCTTTATACATCATTGCAATGTTTATTGAAAGTTTTTTTTCAAGAGTGTCTATATGTTTCCTCCATGTTAAATTTTCGTCTAAAATAATACCTAAAAAGTTTACAGTTGTTTGCCTAGTAATATTTATATTATTGATTTTAAGATTGGGTAATTTTAAA